GGCTGGAGACACATTGGCCGGCGAGAGGTAGAGTAGCGGCTGAGACAGGGCAGAGGTAAGAGGTAGCAAGGCTGAGACAGGCAAGAGGTAGAAGGTAGAGGCTGAGACAGTAAGCTGCGTAGAGGTAGCGGCTGAGACAGGGCCAGAGGTAAAGCAAGGTAGCCGGCTGAGACAGGCAGAGGTAGAGGTTAGCGGCTGAGACAGGCAGAAAGGTAGAAGTTAGCGGCTGAGACAGGCAGAGGTAGAGGTAGAGGCTGAGACAGGCAGAGGTAGAGGTAGAGGCTGAGACAGAAGCTGGGGTAGAGATAGAGCTGAGACAGAAGCTGCGGTAGGGGGTAGAGCTGAGACAGAAGCTGGGGTAGGAGTAGAGGCTGAGACAGAGACAGAGGCAGAGATTGAGGCAAGGGTAGGGGTAGAGGCAGAGGTAGCAGCAGAGAGAGACAGAAGCTGGTGGAGATAGGGACATAGACTGAAGTAAAGAGTAGAGGCTGAGAGAGAAACAGAGACAGAAGCAGAGGTGGAGATATAGACCTGAGACAAAGGTAGAGTCGGGAGATAGGGACATAGTTTGAAAGTAATAGACATATAATAGAGATTGAATAATAAGAGATAGAGGCAGAGGTAGGGTAGCGGCTGAGACAGGCAGAGGTAGAGGTAGAGGCTGAGTCAGAAGCTGGCGTAGAGGTAGAGGCTGAGACAGAAGCTGGGGTAGTGATAGTGGCTGAGACATAAGCTGGCATAGAGGTGGAGGCTGAGACAGAAGCTGGGGTAGAGGTAGAGGCTGAGACAGAAGCTGGGGTAGTGATAGCGGCTGAGACATAAGCTGGCATAGAGGTGGAGGCTGAGACAGAAGAGTTGGAAGAGTAGAGGTAGAAGGCTGAGAGCAGAAGCGGTGTAGGTGACAGCGGCTGAAGACATAAGCTGGCAGTAGAGTGGATGGCTGAGACAGAAAGCTGGGGTAGAGGCAGAGATAGAGGCAGAGGCAGAGGCAGAGGCAGAGTGAGGTAGAGGGCTAGAGGTTAGAGGTAGAGGCAGAGCAGAGGCAGAGGCAGAGTACAGGCAGAGGCAGAAGTCAGAGGCAGATGTTAGACGGCAGAGTAGGCTAGGTAGGGGTAGAGTAGAGGCAGAGGTAGAGGTAGGGCAGAGTTAGAGTAGAGGGCAGAGATAGAGGGTAGACGCAGAGAATAGAGGCAGAGTGCCGAGGTAGGGGTAGGGGCAAGAGGCAGAGTAGGGGTAGAGGTAGAGGGTAGAGGTAGAGGCAGGGGCAAGAGGCAGAGAGGAGGTAGGGGGTAGGAGATAGAGGTGAGGTAGGGTAGATGGCAGAGGTAGAGGATGAGAGGTAGGGTAAGCAGGGCGCAGAGTAGAAGGTAGGCTAGAGCAGAGCAAGAGGTAAGGGTAAAGGTAGGTGTAGATACATAAGAGGTAGAATAGGCCAGAGAGTAAGAGGTAGGGCGGTAGAGGTTACGAAAAGCAGAGGCACGAGGTACGAGATAATACGAGTAGGGGATAGAGATAGGGGTAGGGGTATGGCGTAGAGATCAGAGGTAGGGGTAAAGGGGTAGAAGGTAGGTAGGGTTAGAGCTAGGGCCAGAGCAGGAGGTAGAGGTAGGGGTAGAGGTAGGGTAGAGATAGAGATAAGAGTAGGGGTAAGAGGTAGGGGTAGAGGTAGGGGTAGAGGCGGGCAGAGGCAGAGGTAGGGGTAGAGATTAGAGTACAGGGCAGGGGTCAGAAGGCACGAGGTGGGGGTAGAAGGTAGCCGGCTAGAGGTACGGGGTAGAGAATAGAGTAGAGTCAGGCGGCAGAGGCAGAGGTAGGGGTAGAGATCAAGAGGTAGGGGTAGAGATAAAGAGTAGAGGCAGGGCGAGAATGTGGGGGTAAGAGGTAACGGGGTATGAGATAGAGGTACACGGCAGGGTAGAGGCAGGGCAGAGCACGAGGTAGACGGTAGAAGGCAGGCAGCAAGCAGAGGTAAGGTAAGGGGTAGAGATAGAGTAGGGTAAGAGGTAGGGGTAGAGATAGAGGTAGAGGTAGAGGTAGGGGTAGAGATAGAGGTAGAGATAGGGGTAGAGGTAGGGGTAGAGATAGAAGGAAGGGTAGGGGCAGAGGTAGGGGTATAGATAGAGGTAGAGGTAGGTGTAGAGGTAGAGGCAGAAATAGAGGTAGAGGCAGAGGGTCAGACAAACACAGATGCTGAGATGGAGGCTGATGCAGAGTCAAAGGTTAAGATAGAGGCAGAGGTGGTATCAGAGGCAGGGGTTGAGGCTAAGGTAGAGGCAGAGGCAGAGACAGAAATAGAAGCAGAGGTAGAGATAAAGGGTAGGGTAGGTATCCAAGTGTATTGTACGTGTTAGGGTATACAGGTTGCGTGTGGCAGGCAGGCAGGTAGGTTTGGCAGTAAGGGGGAGGGTAGTGTGTCAAGGTTTCAACCTCTACATATAAATATTCATGCACCTGTGCATGCACATACACGTACATATACATGTACACATACACATACACGTACACGTACATATACATGTACACATACACATACACGTAGACGTACACGTACACGTACATGTACATATACACGTACCCATACAAGTACACGTACACGTACACGTACACGTACACGTACACGTACACGTACACGTACACGTACACGTACACGTACATGTACACGTACACGTACACGTACACGTACACGTACACGTACCCGTACACGTACACATACACGTACACATACACGTCCACGTACACATGCACACATGCATATACATACACAATACAGATTAAGCCATTTTAACAGGCATGGGGTGATGAAGTAGGGATGTGGTTGGTAGTGTGTGGACCTCACCCATACATACAGAGTTTTAATCAAGTTATAAGTATGGCAAAGAGGTTTTACAACTAGAACTAGCGACGATATTACACTGTGTCAGCACCGTTTACCAAGGCCACTACTTCTCTCGCAGGATCACTCTCTGGAAGATTTGACCTTGGAGCCGAAACGTCGCAGGGACGCGTCCAATCACAGCAGTCATCATGCCAGTACGTACACTAACGACATGTGCTGTCATACAAGACAAACATCGCTAATAAAGCAGACTCATGCCGTTGTACGAGATAAACATCAAGGCGCTTACACTCCCACACAGCGCCGTCGACAACAGTTGCAGCGATCGAGCAAACCCGAAGTCGAATCTGATGCCCATTGTCAAAAACATAGTAATTAGTTGTGACTATCATGGCGTAACTTTTGCGCGATGCTTCACTTCCAACTTTACGACATTTTATACTCGTGGTTGGTAACGATTTATGATGTTGCGTATAATCACGCCCCCTCCCCCCATCAATTGTATTATTCTCGTTCTCCTCCTCCTCCTACTCCTCTTCTTCCTTCTCCTCCTTTTCCTCCTCGCCCTCCTCCCTCTCCTCTTCCTCCTCCTCCCCCTCCTCCTCCTTCCCCTCCTTCTCCCCCTCCTCGTCCTCCTTCTCCTCCCCCTTCTTTCTCCTCCACGCCCTACTTATCCCTCCTCCTCTTCCTTCTCCTAATCCTCCTCCCCCTCCTCTTTTTCCTTCCCTCCCCTCTCCTCCTCCTCCCTCTCCTCTGCTTCCTCCCCTCCCCCTCCTCGCTCTCCTCCTCATCAGCGTTGATGTCATTTCTCGGCAGGTAAGAGTAAGAGTAAATCGATGTCGCCAGCGAGGAACGGTAGCAGTGTGGAAGTTCTGGGTACTCTGGAGGGCAGGTCCGGCGCCCGCACGCCCGACGGCAGCAGCAGCAGCAGCAGCAGCCGACGCCACACACCAGAGAGCAGCACGCACAGTGTCATGCTGGACGGCATGAGGCGCAGCAAGGAGAAGGTGGGGAGAGCCGACAGCAAGGATGGGAGAGACCGAGACTCCGGGAAGAAGGTGGGGCCAGTCTGCATGCTGCTGTTGTTGTTTTTGTTGTTGTTGTTATTGTTGTTGTTGTTTTTGTTGTTGTTGTTATTGTTGTGGTTGTTGTTGTTGCATACGTGTGAAAAGGAATTTATAATGCAGCTTTTTCATTTATTTTGGTAAAATTTATTAAAATAATAAATACAAAAAAGAATATTACATTGTATTGTACCACATTGCATTGTATTGTATTGCCTTTCAGTCCATTGTATTGCATTACATTGTTTTGCATTGTAAAACAATGCATTGTATCTTATCGCATCATATCTCATATCATCATCATATTTCATATCATCATTATGTTTCGTTGTGCTGTTGCACCGCGCAGTGTGGTTATGTGTGTTACATTGTGTGTCATCGTACTTTGTTGTGTTGCATTGCATTGTGTTTACGTGTGTTACATTGTGTGTCATCGTACACTGTGTTGTGTTACACTGCAGGAGCGGCCCGCGTCGTCGCGCGACCACTACGATGCCGGGAAGCTGGAGCTAGCCGAGAGAGAGCGCATGCTGCCACCACCCGACGCCAAGAAGACCGCCGACAAGAAACAATATCCTTCACGTGGCGCGAGCGTGCGACTGCTGTGAGGCGGGTTCCGCCAGCTAGGAGAGGACAGCGAGGAGGACTTGCACTTGGTTCGTGGGAGCATTTGAAAATCCAAGTCTAAATTTGTCTAAATTTATATTTTTTTTGATTTATTTGAGAAATGATGGTGTTAAATTGACTACGTCACGAATTTTCTAGTGTATATTTGTACATTTTAGTTGCATTTTTTCTCAAAAAGTAAGTACTAACGACAATAATTGTATCCTCAAATTATTACCTGATAAGATTGTTTTTCAACGTGTTAAAAATCAAACAAATCTGGGCGATTTGATATATTGATCATGACATGAAATGCTTGCTATGGGCTATGTATGAGTCGCGAGTGTTTGTTCACATCGAACGGAATAGCAAAATACGAAGTATAGTGCAGCAACTTAACCATAAAAAGTGAACAGAATCACATTTTGTGTAAAGTAGATTTTTTTTACTTCTACTATTACGGTGAGATAATCACTTTAACGTCGTCTGATCTGCGTGTGTGCGTGTAGGAGTGCAGTGACTACCCGGGCTTTGTGACGATATTCCGAGTCGCTCAGACGCCCGGCAAGCACGACCGCCTCGACTACGAGAACTACCGACACGTCTGCCACAAGTGGCACTTCAAGATCACCAAGGTGAGTCGTCCGACATTCACGGCCGCAGGTCCCACGCGAGCTAGCTTCCAAGGTCGCGAGGACGACCTCAAGGTCATGTATGCAACTGCATGGTTTCCGGAGCGGTTTCGAGGTCGCGAAAGGTTAGCTCAAGGTCGCTCTCGCGGCTGCATGGTTCCCAGTGCGGCTTTAAGGTCGCGAAAGGTTAGCTCAAGGTCGCTCTTGCAGCTGCATTGTTCCCAGTGCGGCTTCAAGGTCGCGAAAGGTCGCTCTCACGGATGCATGGTTCCCAGTCGGCTTGAAGGTCGCGAAAGGTTAGCGAAACGTCGCACCGGTGCCAGCATCAGAAAGGAGACTTCAAGGTCATGAGGCTTACGTCAAGGTCGCAAATATGACTGTAGCTCGCACGGTCGTGAAGGTCGCGTCACGGCCGCGAGCATGTCAAGCGTAGAATCGTGCCGATGGATGTCGTCATGCGGATTCTTAGTCGCCGCGGCAATGCTGCTCCTGCTCCTCCTCCTTCTGCTCCTCCTCCTCGTGCTCATGCTGGTCTGTCTCTCACCCGCCTGCAGGCACTCGTCATCTGCCTTGAATCGGAGGACTACACACAGATCCGCAACGCGCTGATCGTGCTGACAAAGATCCTGCCTCACTACCCGCGCGTCACCAACCTGGGGCAGGCGCTCGAGCGACGCGTCGAGAAGATACGCACCAAGGAGAAAGACAAGCGACCAGACCTTTACGCGCTCGCCACGAGGTAATGCAGGCAGGAGGGAGGGAGCGAGGGCTAGAGCAGGAGGGAGGAAGGGAGGGCAGGAGGGAGGAGGGGAGCGAGGGAGGAGGGAGGGAGGGAGGGAGGGATGGAGGGAGCGAGGGCAGGAAGATGGAGGGCAGAGTGTGGGTGTGTTGGGAGGTAGGGCTAGTTACCTACAAGCATCTCTTGCCCCGTGATGTCTCCACACTGATGTCTGATTGTTGTTGCTGCTGATGTTGTTGTTATAGTTACTATGGACAACTGAAGCTGAAGAGCAACACGTTCACACCTGAGAACGAGTTCCATTACAAGGAGAAGGTGAGTCGCCATGTATATGTGTGCGTGCGTGCGTGCTTGTGTATAGAGATATATTATATATACAGATAGAGAGAGACACCGTGAATGATTCGCTCTGGTGGCGCCACCGTGAATAATTCGCTCTGGTGGCGCCACCATGAATAATTTGCTCTGATGGCACCACCGTGAATGATTCGCTCTGGTGGTGCCAACTGTACATTGTTTGCTGTGGTGGCGCCACCGTTCATTGTTCGCTCCGGTGGCGCCAACTGTACATTGTTCCCTCTGGTGGCGCCCTCATGAATGGTTCGCTCTTGTCACATACATTGCTCACCTGAGTGGTGCCCCCCTTTTTCACTTTTTGCGCTCTGGTGGTGCCCTTGCCTATTGCACTGCTATGGCGGCGCGCTCACGCGTCGTTCTTGCTCTCGTGCCGGCAGATCTTCTGTGACATTACGTACACGGTGGCGTCTTGCACGGAGAACGAGGCAAGTCGCTACGGTCGCTTCCTCTGTGCGATGCTGGAGACGGTGATGCGCTGGCACAGCTGCCGCGACGTGTTCGAGAAGGTAAGCCATAGGGGAGGGAGGGAGGGAGGAGGGAGGGAGGAGCTACGGCTTGCAGGGTTCGTACGGGTCATGGAAAACCTGGAAAGTCATGGGATTTCATTTTTCTTCAAAAGGCCTGGAAAAGTCCTTGAAATAGAATAATTTTGTACAAATTCATGGAAAAGTCATGGAAATATGAACTATTTTGAATTATATTAGTTTTAAGTAGTTGTTTGATAAATAAATTGCCTTTCAATTTCCAACATTATTTACGGTATG